GGTGAACTCACTCCATCCATCACCCAGCAGTAGGTCATGTTAGTTTATTTCATTCAGCAAGGTCACTCTGCCTGACGAGAGGACTGGTGCCAAACCACTCGAGGTTTGATTAATTGTGAATCAACGAGCCATAAAGGCGAGCGCTGTAAACGCGGTACGATTGGCCCGGAAAGATATATCAAACTTCCCCTTCGAGGACCTTGCTTTGAGGGAGGTCTGCATTGCTTTGGTTAAAAATACACCAGGCAACAGGAGGTGGGGGGGGGAAAAAATGAGGGTGACAGTAAAGAGGGATAAAAATAACTCAAAGAAAGAGAAATGGAAATGGGATAAGAAAGTTGATGCTTGAGAAGGCCGAGATAAATAAGCAGGAGGGGCAGATGGAGGACGATTGAGGAGATGGGAGATGTGAATGAAGGACAAAATTGACTCCTCGGTGGAAAATGGGAGACATGAAAAACCAATTCAGCCATAGCACAACCAAATCTCCTTCTAGCATCTTTTTATCATTTTTTTTTTATTCCCATCTTTCTATGTTTCATCTCCTGTGTGTGCGATTGTGTTGACAAAATGGACCTGCATGTATGTGAATGTTGGAAAGCGACTTAATTCCAACATCCAATATCTCAGGCATTATATGTTCTGCCTGAGCGATGAGACACACTGACTGACACACACACACACACACACACACACACACACTCAATCCCACAGACCATTTCCATTAAACAGCTATTTCCAGAGGATATCTGCGCGGTGGGGAAATCAAGCTCTCGACCACCGTTTGAAGTGGTATCAGCTACACTTGTTCCTATCGCCATGCTATCACTCCTTCCGCTCGTACCCTACATCCTTCACTAACCCCTCTCTTCCTCACTTATCTCCCTGACGCCCCCAGAGATCCTCGTCCTCCCCTCTCTTCTCGTCCTCTTTTCTCACATGTGGCCCCCTCTGTGCTTCCTCCTTCTTAATCATCCCTCCTTTGCTCCTCCTGTCATGCCGGTCAGACCCGGGGCTGCTGAAAGCGCTAAGAGCTTTGCTTCCACTCGTCATGAAGGACGACGCGGATCTTCTCATCTTCTTTTCCTGATTCTATCCCCCTGACCCTCCATCAGTGGTGGGAGAAGTCATCAGATCCTCTTCTCATGTGGAGTAAGTAACACCACAGCTTCAAAGCAACAAGTCATCTAACCCAAGTTACGTCTCAGGTCGGCATTCAAATAAATGAATGAATACATCTTCTGCCAAAAGGTTGTCTTTTTCTTTGTCAGTCTTCAAGTTAGTTTTATACATAAGGAACCTTACAAACCTGTCTCGCTTAACATGATAAATTAACCTCGGTGATGTGGCCAATCAGTCTTATGACACTGCAGTTGCACTCAGAGACCTTCAGTAGGCGCCAACGCGCACCAAACCGAATTCCTGTCTATTGTTGCTTTAAGTATTCTGTATAAGTGCGCAGTGAAGTATGACTCAACTGTAATTAAAAAAGTAAGACTTTTTTTTTTATAAAAGCAGAAAGGCGCTGTCATTAGATTTCTTCAGCTGTGTTTTCAAGATGCTGACAATCACACAACTGTCCTAGCGTACGATGGGGAATATGTCAGATTTGTTTTCTTTAACAATTTTTTTCCTGAAGTACATCAGAAGGACAAAACCATAATCAACCGTGCTTGTCCTCGCTTGTTCTGGCACCTAGCACATCTTTAAAAACCGGTGAAAACAGTTTGATTTTCATGACATTTAGAGTAACTTTACTATTTAAATTTACAGTATTTTAAGTATTTACAGCTTCAAGACAGAGTTTTTGGGACTGATTAGAAATAATCTTCTTTCCTGTATTTCACTTATCAGGAACATGCTGCAGAAGGCATTGCTGTATCTATGGTATGCATTATTAACGGGTTTTGGAGGTCAGTTGTACAGAGGAAGAAACTACAACATAGCTAGGATGTTGCAGTAAGGCAGCACATGTACCTACAAAGAGGTCCTTCTTGTTTTGGTCGTATTAATAGGTCCAATCAGAAAGGTTCAGAATAGTGTGAAGTATGAGCTGCATTCAGTTCAAAGCTGCTCAAGGTGGAAACTACTGGAACTGCTTTATTCAATGTATGAATGTTGCCTTTTTATAAAGCTAACTACTTTCTGTGTGGAAATCTGACAAGCACCTTTTAAATACAGGGATACAATAAAGTAGATAATCAGATTACACAAAATGGAAATGTGTTCAAGTATCTAATATATGTACTGTAGTAGTCTCGCTTATATTTAATACATTAACTTGCCTATTTTCTATTACTGCCTTTTGTTACTCATCTTCACTCGAGCCTGGTTTCCTCCTTTTTTCACTCCTCCTCTCTCTTCCATGTCTCTCATTATTCCTCCTCTCCCCTCTTCCTTCTCCCACAGGATTCCATCTTTATTCTCCTCTTTCCCATTTTCCTTTTCCTCTGCGTTACCCACCCATCCTCAATCTCTCCTGCTCTTCAACTTCACTCCTCTCTCTCTCTCTCTCTCTCTCTCTCTCTCCTGCTCAGACCGATGCTCGATGCTGCCGGAGACGGATCACAATCCTCTCTTCTGCGTCTCGCCGGGAATCACACACTCCTCTCTACTCCTCCACCAAGAGATAAGGACAAAGTAAGCCAAAAAAAGATCAAGGAAGAGCCAGAGGATAAAGATGCAGATAAATGGATGAATCAAGAAGAAGTGACTGAGTAAAGGCAGCACAAGTGGAGAAGAAAAAAAGAAAACCTCCCTGAAGGAAAGAAGAGATTTAAAAAAAATACAAGCCAGCTTAGTCCCTGCATTCTGTGATTTTCTCCCTCTCTCTCATGCTTCTCTTTTGCTGTGTCCACTCCTTCATTCAGCACCTGTACTGTGGGATTAACATGACTTAAAATTCAATCAGCCTACAGTCGGACGGAAGAGCGACAGAGGAGGCAGACAGAGCGCTGCAGCTGTCGAGACCGAGAGAGGGGACGACCAGCGGGAGGAGAGAGAGAGAGAGAGAGAGAGAGAGGGGGGGATAGACAGTGAGAGATAGAGAGGAGAGAGAAAGAGAGAGCAAGAGAGAGAGAGAGAGAGAGATGGGTGTTTTTCCACGGAGCTGAGACAGAGAGCGAGCGGCAGGGACAGTGGAGATGTGACGGTTTCCATGGGTCGTGGAGGAATGATCCGGAACACAAGGTTAGTAATTTCCACCTTTTCCATCAAGCGGAGGGCAAGAAAGAGGAAACGACATATAAGATAAGGATGAAAGGAGCGGAGGAGGATTGGAAAAAATTGGAAGAAAAGAAAAGAAAAGAGACACAGTGGCAGTGTTGTGCTTTTGAAGAGGCAAAGTGAATACCGGAGGGGGGGGGGGGGGGACGCAGATAAACAGAAGTGAAAAAAGAAAATCAGGGGTTTCCAGTTGCAGTCAGGGAGGCAGAAAATAGGTAGAGAGGCTGCACATATAAAGCTGCTGCACTAATGTGCATAAACACACTCTAAGGAACACACTCGGAAACACACACAAACACAAAGTGAGTCCGCAGCTTCAGCGCTAGATAATGAGATTGTCTTCTTAAAGGTGTCGGCTTTTGGAGTTTGATTGACAGGCTGGGGAGTGTGGGGGGGGGGGGGGGGCTGACTTCTGAACTGTCTGACTTTTATGGTGCTGATCAATAGCCGTGTTGTTTCATTAGACTCTGTGTGTGTGTGTGTGCCTGGAAGCGGGGGAGAGGGAGGGAGAGAGAGAGAGAGAGGGAGAGAGAGAGATGCAGAGGCTGTGTGTGCTTGCAGGAGAGTATCACTGCATGACTACTTAGTGGATGCGTGCGTATGCGTGGTCTGTGTGCATGGTGGTGACCGTGTTGGAGGAGTGTGTGTGGAAGCATGCCTGAATGTGCTGCATGACTGTGTGTGCGTGTCTGTGTGTGTGTGTGTGTGTGTGTGTGTTCAAGAGCAAGCCAATGCAGCCTGCTGAGAGGCGTTAAGAGGGTCTCAGAACTATTGATTCTCCCTGACCGACAGGTGAGCGGCAAAGAGGGAGGGGGGGAGTCAGAGAGGACAAAAAAATTAGGAGGTTGCGAGATGGGGAGGGGGGATTTTAAGAGGCCCTACAGGAGGAGTGAATGATGGACACTTAAAGGAGGGATGGATGGGGATTGCTGGAGGAAAAAAAGAGGTAGAAAAATGGACTCATTCCAGAGTTTGTGTGATTTATGGGAGCGCAGAAATAGAACACACGTACTTCTCACAGAGTTAATTCGCTTATTGTTTCTTCTCTTTTGCAGGTTTCAAGCCGTCCCTCCATCCAACTCCCAATCCTCCTTTTCTCCACCTCCCCCCAAGGTCATAAAAGAGTGACTAGTTCAATGCGGGAGCTTGTAGGGTGCACAGAGGCCCTGTGACACACCCTGGGAGTCAGTAAAGGAAGTAAGGGATGAGAAGAAGAGAGTGGGGGGGAAAACTGAAAGTGTGAACGAGTAAAGCAGTGAAGAAGTCGTCACAGAGCCAGATGAATTATTAAGGAGACAAGAGACTTGGCTGTATGAGTGAGAGAGAGGGGAGAAAAAGGAGAGAGGGAGAAAAAGGGGAAGGCGGAGAGTTGAAGATCGTCAGCAACTCCAGGATTCTTATTCTCCGTCGATTGAAGTATAAAGGAAAGTTGAATACAGCCATGAGGGAATCGTATGAAAACGCACTGAATAGGATTTCAAGCCAAGTGGATCCTTGGATTTTTTCTCAAACTGAGGTCTCTATTTTGGAATACCACACCAGGATTGAGCGAGTAATTCGGGATTTTCCACGTTTTCTTCATCTATAGACCTCTAAGAGGATATTGTGGGGATTGGAGTTTCTGTGACTCTCTCTCTCTGCTTTTTCTGACACTGACCTACATCCTACTCCTTTTGAATGTGTGCGGGAGGCGCGTGTGTGAAGGGGGAGTAGGACAGGTTTTTCCGCACAAACACACAAACCCCTCCCTCCCTCCCTCCCCCCCCTCCCCTCCCCTCCCCTCCCTTACACCTCCGACTGCTGGCCCGCTGGAGAAACACCTGGGGCGAGATCAGTGCTAACCACTCACACACAAACACACACACACACACACACACATAAACCTGGATAACATGTGGAGCTGATTTGGATTATAGAGCCGCACAGACGGAAAAGGTAACGTCCATGCAGTGACAAACACACACACACACACACACACACACACACACACACACACTGTTGTCATAAAGTGGCGAGTAAAGGTAGATCCATGTTTGCATGGTTAGCTCTCTTGTGCTGAATCATTGAGCACATCAATGCTGGACTGGGAACTATGTGTTCTCCCTCTCTCTCTCTCTCTCTCTCTTTCACACACACACACACACACCCTCACGCAGGCCTATAAATAATGAACAGATGTGCGTTCATAACAACCAAAACACAAGAGGCAAATGTCAGAGTACACACAGAAGAAAAACACAAATCTCCCACATGGCACAAGAGGATTGTTTGCTTTTCTTTTCTTATCCTTCTATTCTGGTCCTTCCACACCTCCTTTCTCTCTTTTTTTTTTTTCCTCCTCGCTCTACATAGCCACACAGAGAGTCCTGCTATCCCTCGCTTTGTGTGTGTGTGTGTGTGTGTGTGTGTGTGTGTGTGTGTGTGCGTGTGTCAGCCAGCTGTCCTGTATCAGATTACTCATAGGTGCGTCTGAGCTTGGCTTTCATCACCTCGCTTTTATGTAATCTCACCTGGCGTGTCGTGTGTGTGTGTGGATGCAGTGTGTGTGTGTGTGGTGGCAGCAGCAGCACACAATCTATCCTCCCTTTGTTTTAACGTAAGCTATGTTGCAGCACACACACACACACACACACAGATTTGGCACACTGACACAGGAGATCAGGCCGACTGAGTGGATGTATGGAAGGATCGGAGGGCAATGAGAAAGAAATGGAGACGGGAGAAGAGGGGGAAAAATGCACAAGGGAGGTAAAGGGAGACGGTAAAGAGACGCAGGGGGGACGGAGAGGGGAGAAGTGGAGGGCGCGGTGAGCCAGCACATAGTGATGGGCACTGAGGGCTGAGGGAGGTCAGACGGAGGGATTAAAGCAGGAGAGTGAAAAGCAGAGATCGACTCCCTTAACTTACAGGGGAAGAAAGACAGACGAAGGGAAAAAGGAAAAGGTAGGATGGGTTAGAAAAGAAAGAATGAAATGATAAAGGGTTCATGGCAGCAGAGGAAGAGATAAGACGGGGGAGGGGTTAGAGCATAAAGATTGATACATCAGTGTTGGGAGAAAATAAAATGACTGTAGAGTTCATTGTAAAATAAGTGGAGAAAAAAAAACACGACGATTTTAAGTAGGATGAATGATGAGATTGTTATTAAGAGGCACATTCAGGCTAAAATGATGAATTAACAGAGATAAAAATAGATGGAGAGATGAGGAAGAAATAATTAGAAATGACAGATGGTCGTCATTATGTGGCTTTCTACTGTTCTACCATTGGCTACAATTAGTCTTAAATGACCCCGAAAAGTCTAGCTAACGCAAGTAATGAGCTATTTAGAGAAAGAACTACAAGGGGAATGTCTTACACCATGGGGCTTTTCTATGTAAAAAAAACAACAACAACAACAACATGGCAATTAAGAGGCATAACTTAGTGGGAAAATGTTGTTTTTTTTTTCTCTAAGATGAGCTTTAATTATGACGGAAACAAAAGAGATCCAGGTTGAAAACAACACATCACATGTGGAACTATTTTTATGAACAACGAGCTTCTTGATAAGTGACAAAGCGTTCATTATTTACTCTGTTGATCATTTACAACCGTTTTGACTCGGCTTTCAACAGGGGCAGCGCTAATTCTGTAAAAAAAAAAATAAAGAGCGAGTCTTTTAAAATTCAAAACACAAGACGCCTTTTGATATCCATTAACCAAATCCTGATTCTATTATTGGCTTGACTGTCTTTTCTAATTTCTAACAGTCTTAAGAATACAGAGCAGGTAAGAGTCATGCGGTTCAAACTGGAATAAAAGAGGAGTTTTTGAAATGATCTTGTCGTTGCTTCGTTGTGGAGGCTCTTTTGTTTCTGAGGGTGTGTGTCATTTCTGAGGCTACGTTAAATGGAGATTCATGAGCAGATGGGATGCTCACTGTTCAAAGACGGGGCCTTGCCAAGAAGAACAGACCGGCAAGTAGATGAAGGAAAAGAGAAGAAAGAGGACATGAAGTGGACCACCTAGTGAGAGTGAGTTAGAAATAGGCAGATCAATTAATTGCTCATTTACACTTTACGCTAATTTGGGAATTTGTGGAGTTGGAAAACAAGGTAGTGGTCTTCTTAGAGGTTCAAGGCCTAACTTGCCTGGTTACAGTTGCTGATCTACGATTGGCTAAAAGCTGGGGAGCAGGGGGAGGGGTTTAATAAACTGTCAATTAAAGGACTACAGAGCACAGAAAATAGTGACACTGACAAGAAAAAGTTTAAAAGACTACAGGACCTATCAAATCCTCTTTTTTTTTTTAATGTATTTGCCAATTCAGGACAAATACCTGGAAGAGATCGAGACAGATGGATAAAAAGACATCAGATGATGATGAATGATAGATGAAGGACACACCTTTTCTGACATAGCCACCTTTCAATCCAGACAACGCAAGATTTGAAAGCCTGAAACAAGAGAGACGTTGTCGATGTCAGAAGGCGGCACTTGATGGATGAATGGGCAGATGGATGGATGAGAAATGGAGAGGGGGAAAAGAACGGAGGATCAAAAAGGAGGAGACGTCAGGCCGCTGTCAACAGATAAAGAACCGAGTGGTAGATGATGGACGGAGAGGTGTAGAATGATAGCGCGACGAAGAGCAGTAATTACAAGAGTGACTGTGTAAGAGGGAGTAACACTCACATGATGGAGTGGGAGAGAATAATGAAGAATGGAATGGCTTGTGATGACACTTGAGAGGTGGGTGATAAGAAGGAGTGGGAATAAAGGGAACTGAGGAATAACTATGTCGGAGAAGAAAAACTACACTATTAAAGCTCTGGATTGCAGAGGGGGATGGACGGTGGGGCGGAGAGGTGGAGGAAACGATGGCGCGCGACACGATGCGATGCGAAAGTTGAAAGGAAGGGAAACGACGAGAGCGAAGGAGTGACGAAGAGGCTCCCCCCAGTCGGAGGTGGAGGCAACACTGACAGAAAACTGTAGTACAGAAGTGAGAGAGGATGGAGAGGGTGAGGGGATGAGTAATTAAACTGTTGACAGTCTGGTTAGGCACAGCAGGCGCCTGATGAGCAGAACAAACTGTAACCAAGGCAACCGCTGGAGACTGACAGAGGGATGGTTTATGGGGGGAGAAGGGAAGGAGAATGAGAGACTGGGGGGGATTAGAAGAAAGGAGAGAGGGATGATAAAGACCTGACCTGATGTCAAATTATTGGCAGATTCAAGAAATACCAGAAACTGAAACACCTTCACTAATGAGCGACTACAGGAAATCTCAGATCTGGAAGTTACCTTCAAAGCTGTATACGATTAGTCCAATCTCTTAGTAGTAGTGATCCCAGTTGATAAACGCCACTGACATTATTATCATAAGCGGTTTAGTAATCAGATTCAGCCCTGCAGAGTAAGAATTGAAACCCAAGAACCTTTTTGAAAAGATATCTGGCTAACTTGCTAATCCTGCTTTGTGAAAAACCCCCCTCCGGAGATAAAGCAGGAAAAGGAGCACGGATTTAAACACAGTCACAAAACTTTGATGTGTTTCAGTGCCGTCAGAGAAGTGTGACGTGTCCCATCCTGTCATTAAACACAACATTTCATGGAATAACTTCAACCCTGAAAGAAAAGTTGGTTGGCATTTATCAAACCAGGGCTGACTGATTAGCTTCTTTAATCATTTAAATGTTGATTCATGGTCTTTTTCTGACAAACTGACTTCATGTGTCATCACTTAAATACCCCAAATCAACAAAGTTCGACCAATACGACATCTTCAACATGAGTCATTAACCCGACGGTAGTTATTTTAACTTCAATTAAACGTGGGAAAGCAGCAACATCTTATGAATAAGAGAGGGTGAGAAACAGAGTGAATTACCACTAACTGTATCTCTGTGTGTATGATACTGGAAAACATCACACCCAAAAGAAACAAGAAAAGTGTTCCACATTATCGTTCAGGTTCACAAATCAAAATGTTTTGACAATTGTAATTCATCAAGGGGTTCAAAGCTGCGACTACTAAGCAGAGATCAGGTTTAATGAGGGCTTGGGCGTCTTTTGAACAGTAACGTGATATGAAACCTTCTATGGTGAGTTTCTTAGTGTTTGTCGCACTCGCATCGCCCTGTGCGTCGGAGCCAACAGCTTCCACAGATGTCCTTGCACCTCAGTACATGTTGGAAGCACCCCCCCCCCCCTTCTGACAGCTGTAAAACAGCACGTAAAAACCAACTCTACTACAAATCCGCTAACTCGCAGGTGTTAGTGTGCTTCACTATGCTCAACAGATGCAGGAGGTTGTAGTTGCTCAAGTGAATCACGGAGCAGAATATGGCGTGGGTGATGACTGTCAGGGAAAGGAAAAAAAAAAACAAAGCAGCTAGTAATCTGCAACACGTACAGCCTAAGTCTGACAGAGGATTCCTACTTGTACCAACAATGTAAAGCATAAGAATGTGAGATGATGTAATCAACGAACTCAAGGGAAAGCAGTTTCCCCTGCAGGCTCATTGCAGCGCAGTGTTGTTTCTACTTTATAAGTGTCTTATATCAAGGGGGGGGAAAAAAAGCTCTTTGTGGTGAGTTACAGAGCAGTCTGGGATTCTTTACAGCTTAGAGAAGCCTCAGTGATCAAACATGCGTCATACAAACAGGCCTCAAACTAGTAATCATTCCTACTTTCTTATCCTGATGTGACATGTATCTCCAGGGTTCTTTTGCTTCTCACATTTGTCTACATTCATTTGTTCCAGACACAAACATAAAAAATAAACAGGTAAAAATGTCTGGAGATAGGTTAATGTATGTATGTGTGTGTGTAGGATTAATCAATACATGCAGCTCTGGGGTTCAGTGGCTTGTTGGCATGTCATTGACCTACTGTGCTGGATGCAGAGTGCTGATTGGGTAATTGCCCTGTTACACAGGATTTCCCC